ACATGAGCAGGTACTTAAGTCCTTTATTTTGAAAAAAGGAAGTTTATGTTTGTGTATTTGCTTCTTCTTCTTCAACAGTGTATGGTGGATTGCCCTGTTTACTGATTCTGTAACGATGAATACAGCACGTTGTTCATTACTCTGATTGGTCCTAGAACTGTCCAATGGAGTGCAAAGACAGTTTGAAAGACAACCGTAGATTCCGCACCACGACCGAGCTCTGTCTATAGGTTGTGGCCAGACATATGGCCTGCGAACGAAGGCTGAGAGTTTAGACCTAAAGACCTACTTTTCTGATCTGGCTTTTAACTGTGTGGGTTAGCTGTTGCTGATATTTTCACATGCTCTTATTCTGTTATGTTTATATTGTTGGTTTTTAATTGTCCCTGCTGGTTCTATCTGTTTTATTTGTATGATGCATTATAAATAAAGGTTGATTTAATTTAGTTTGTTTGTCAATGAATCCTTTTTTAAGTTTCCACTACAAAACATATGAAGGTTTATAAACTTGCATGAACCACTTTGAGATTCAGGAGATTGGAGTTATTTTTGGACAAATCACTTTGTATTTTTGTCCTTTCAGGGCTTCCGCTCAGATCTTCATCGATTCCTACAAATGTAATTTTGCATTACATGTTTATTTTGGCAGAAATATCAAAGGTGTGGAAAAATGAAAATCCATTTTAATGATTATTTCTGATTATAATCGGTCCCTCTGAATTTTTCATGCAGGCTGCAGATAAAAACACCTACAGTATCTCCTGCATTAGCCTCTGATAGAGAATAGATGGTAAAAATCTAGAATTTGAAAATCCTGACAGATCTGCGTCACACTGTCACTTAACATTTAAGGACTCACCCATCTTGACTCATAACGGGAAATGCTGTTGTTAGTTTATGTTTTTGTTTATTTATTTGGCAGGCGCTTTTATGCAAAGCGACGTAAAATTATTAACTTGTAATATTTGTGGAGATAAAACATCCATGTCTCCGGGCAAACAGATTTTGTGGTAGAGTCCCGTTGCTGCTATCCAATCCAAGGCAAGATGTCCAGTATCAGAAAATAAGGCTCCAAATCCCGCCGTGTTCTGCCACTCTCTGCTCCAGCAGATTTAATTTTGATCCAGGCACTTCCGGGGTCCAGAGACTTTTATTTATTTTTTATTTATCCAGATGAGTCGACTGAGAGCCCGTTCTCATTTACAACGTCAATCTGGCCACGAAGCAGAGACCACTGCAAATGTATTGATTAAACAAGTGTCCCACACCTTTAAAAAAAATCCTGCTGGACTCAACTTCTGGATGCACCTTGGTGCTGCTTGTGATATTCACACTTGGAAACGACATGAAACTTTGTCATGGTACATAAAATACCAGCACATGAACCGCTTCAAAAGTCTGGTAGATTGGAGTTGCTTTCAGGGGCCTTTTCTTAGCTTTGTTTGGACTGTGAGCTCAGCAGTCCTGCAGAATATAAACTCCATTTCTCCAAACAGTGGCCATTCAAAAGTATGTTACCTTCAGAAGACATGAAACTAACATGAAATCAGAAGTTGTGCAGACATTTAGAGCTGTTTGTGCACTTTTGGCACTGGATGGTTTAGTTTGGGGAAGCAATGTTTGTTTTGTGGCACGTTCCAGTATAAACAGTGACTGTGGATGACCTCTTCAATCTTTGGCACGTCACACAAATGCAAACAAGAGCCAAAGAAAGAGACACTGTGCTGTTTGCTGCTGATGCAATTTCTGATGACACCTTACAGTAAATACTTCCTGAAAGCTCACATCTATCCGGAGGTGGGTGGCAGTTGGACTCCTGCTGCACAAAGAAAATCAAGAGAATAAAGGTCTGTTATCATTGACTTGCTGCAATAGATGTGAAATGTAAATGTTAGAAATGTGCATCAAGTGTGTCTGCAGGGAGGAAGGAAAATGAGACATTTTTAAAGGTTTCCAATTAGTATTCTCACCCAGCAATCAACAGCTTTAAACGTGTAGCCAAGAACTGGAAATGAACAAAGATTCTGACACAACTTTGAGCCCACATGGGAGTAGCTCCGCATTATGCTTATTTCTCTATTTCCTTCTAACTCAACATGAATTAATCACCGCTTAGTGACCTCGAAGAAGTTGGATTTCATTAGCTGTCTTGTCCTGCACCATCATGAGAGTTTTGTGAATTTGAATCCACTGACTTATATAATTATATTCTCCTTTAAAGTTGATTCTCAACATCAAAGGGACAATATAGCCTTTGAAGTGCCATGGGATTGGATCACTGTCTAACCCACTCTTTAAGATTCTGTCACAATGACATTAGGGAAGTCATGTGAATTAAAAGACTAGAGAACAGCTCTTTGCCTTTGCTCTGTGTCCAATTTCAATCAAAATGTCATGCTGTGCCATTTTCCCCTGAATGCGGAACTGGCAAGTGTGTTAGACTCACATCTTTGTGGCTAAAATCCTGTGACTAATATGTAAATTGTGTAACAGTTACACTTGTGTGAGAAGATCAAATCAGGCTCGTAATTTGGGGATTTTAATTGTCTCAGATTATATATTTAAACATCTTCATATTAATAAAAGAGGTTTTTTGGCCAACGTGTTGCTTATGTTTGCTTCTCTATACAGAAACGTCTTGTTGTATATGTACAGTCTATGGTTGTAACAGACGAACAGTGAGAATAATGGTACTGGCGGCAGATCTCTTAACTTCTGACGCTTCAAAGCCTCGGGGAGTTGGCTCGAGATGGCTTGTCTTTGATGAGGTCCTGAAAACCTCTCAATTCTGTCCTGTTCTTTAAAAAGTTTTTAAAACGCACTTAGATTTTTATATATGAATTTCACGCACGTGGAGATGTAGAATGTATTCTCTCTGTTTTTGTGTGTTTATTTCAACTCCTTTGTACTTAATTTAGTTGTATTTCGCATCGTTGCGAAGCGGAGACGCGGAGTTTTTTTATCTACCTTCCAGGACCCGGAGAGCGGTTCTTTACTTTGAAGTCCGCAGTTAAACCTTTAGCCCGGTTGGTGTAGTAACAGTCGGCAGCCTTCCTGTAACACTACCAGGCGAGTAAAGTTTTAAAAAGCGGTATTTTTTTATTCTGGAGGGGGCACGCGGAGAAGAGAGGTGTCCATCCATGGTGGGAAGGTGGAGGAGGACCGGAGGAGGACAGGCAGGCTGGAGCCCGTTGGACTCCTTCACTTTTTGTTTTTTTCTAACCAGAGTGGCTACATGGACGGTGAGTTGTAGGAAAGCTGTTCCACAGGCCCCCTCTCTCGGCCGCTTTGATGTGCTGCTGCTGGGCTTTGAAGTTGAGAAACGCGAGCTATGTTTCTTGTTTGTGGGCGAGAAATACGGTTTGATAGATAAGAAGCTTATGTGTGCGCGCGCGCCCGTTTGTGCGTGTGTGTGTGTGTGTGTGTGTGTGTGTGAGAGAGAGAGAGAGAGAGAGAGAGAGAGAGAGAGAGAGAGAGAGAGAGAGAGAGAGAGAGAGAGAGAGAGAGAGAGAGAGAGAGAGAGAGAGAGAGCATGGATGTACGAATGTGTAGCCCAGATAAAAACCGAATATTTGTCGGTGGGGCTTCTTCTATTCTGGATGAGTAAAAAATAAAAGAGGAGGAGTGTGATGTGTTCTTCGGGTAACCCCCTGTCCTTCCTCCTCCTCTCCTTCAGATTTTGACACCCAGTGATCTACATAGGCTGTGAGCCTGCCTCCTCTGAGGTCAGTTGTTGAATGGGACAGAGTACATTAAACTACTGCGCCTGTTGTGCAGCGGATGGCGCGCATGTGGCGCGGCGCAGCCTCCAAGTAGTCCTCCGTCAGGGTTTCACGGTGCCGCGCTACTGCTGGACTTGGACTCGGGAGAACTAGAAATGGAGTAGCAGCTCGAAGTTTTGTTTGGAGTTTTGTTCTGGTTTAGATCCGCTCTGCTATGGTATGTGACTCTGCGCTCCTTCATTTTACCTCCTTTGAGCTTCAGAAGACCCAGAACACGTTTTTTTTTTATCTATTTATCTTTTGAGTTTTTGTATCTTTACTAATCGATCCGACTCAGATCTGTTAAGTCTCTCCTCCTCTGACAACGATCCCGAAGGTTACCGGATTCTCCCGCGGGGCTTTTCTGTGTTTTAGTCGCTGATCAGAAGCTGTTTAAGTGGTGCTGCGCGCACAGATGGTAGCTGAAATTGGAGTTGAAGCCAGTGACATGGACTCTTTAGGAAACACGTGTTAGGATTTATTTATTGTTCTGATGTGTGATGTGGCAGATCATTTAGGTTATAAATAGATAAATGAAGCGAAATAAAGCCTTTCAGGTCTCCTTTTCTCCCTCTGAACCCGGTGAGGTTCCTTTTCTTTCGTTCTTTTTGAAAGGGGATGTTTACTTGATGTCTTCCTTTGAAGTTCAGCAGGATCTGGCTTTGATTAGATCAATACTTTGTGTTTCAGAGTGAAGAGGAGCTGAGAAGCTCCCCCGCTGCTTTCAGAGAGTGAGGAGGATTTGGCTGGAGCTCAGCGGAGGCACGACGGCACTCTCACGCGGCAGCAGCCGGAGCTGGAGCCATGAGCAGGGCGCTCACGGAGCACATCATCAGCAGTAGCTTCCGAGAAGATGCTCCTCGTCCTCCGGTACCGGGGGAGGAGGGAGAGGCGTCATGCTACAACCCCGGCAGATCTGGCAAAATGAGAGCCCAGAACATGGTTAATGACCCAGCCGCCGCCGCGCCTCCCGGATCCACTCCGCGGAGGAACGAGGATGGACTCGGGGAGCCGGAGGGCAGCGCGTCCCCGGACTCGCCTCTAGCCCGGTGGACTAAGTCCCTGCATTTCCTCTTGGGCGACCGGGACGGTGCTCACCTGTTCAGGACCTATCTGGAGCGGGAGAACTGCGTTGACACTTTGGACTTTTGGTTCGCGTGCAACGGCTTCCGGCAGATGGACCTAAAGGATACCAAAACGCTGCGAGTTGCCAAAGTTATCTTCAAGCGGTACGTGGAGAACAACAGCGTGGTGGCCAAGCAGCTGAAACCGGCCACCAAGACCTTCATAAGGGATAGCATCAAGAAGCAGCAGATCGACTCCGACATGTTTGACCAGGCGCAGACGGAAGTGCAATCTCACATGGAGGAGAACGCGTACCAGATGTTCCTGACCTCTGACATATACCTCGAATATGTGCGTACCGGCTGCGAGAACGCCGCCTACATGAACCACAGCGGTCTTAGCCTCAAGCTGATGTGCGGATATCTTCCTCCCCTCATGGAGGAAGAGGAGTGGAGTTGTACCGACCTGAAGGCGAAAGCGTTGGGGTCTGTGGTCGGGCTGTCTGCGAAAAACCTGAGGGCTACAACCACCATCCGGACAGCAGCTGAGGTGCTAGAGAGGAGCTGCAGGTAAGCGCACCTGACACCCCCCCCCCCCCCCCCCCCAATATCGCACCTCACCTCAGCTCTGGTCTATCAAACACCTCCTGATCGTGGCTCCCTCATTAAACCGGCGGAATATGAGTCAGTTATTTCACGAATGTCTGAGGGAGAGCCACATGATCAAAGGGTCTCAGAGGAACATGCCTGGATGTTTGTGCCCTCCTGCCTTGCAGTTAGTCAAGAGGTTGGAGGGGAGGAGAGGCGGGGTGGGCACAAAACATCAATGCATCTGAGCCTTCCTTTTAAGTAAATGGTGTCTTGCAGGCAGCCCTCTGCTGGCTTGCTCAAGTTTCCTGTGCTTTGAAAGCCTTCCTCTGGTTCAGGAATGGATTCAGACACCAAACCTCATGACTGTGATGCCGCCACATCAAACACTGGGATGTTATTGTGAAGATGTGTCTTCTTTTCTTTCCCTTTCATCCAGAATCTTTTAGAAGTTATTGTTCATTGTCACAAAAATCTCCTTAATCCACAGAAATGCAAACACTCGGTTTATTTATTTATTTATTTATTTATTTATTCTAAATAAAATAGAAAGTTTTGCCGATTCCAAGCAGAGATTTAGATCTTTGGACCCGGAGGAAAGCGGAGCTAAAAGCATTTTACGTTTATCTGAAGAAGTCGTCCCACACGTTGTCCAACAGCTGAAATCTGTTCAGACCAGAAACTCAGACAAACTGGATCGTATGCACGAGTCTGCATCAAAGGAAAACTGATTTTCTTTTCTCTTTTCTCACATCTGGCTGCGATTATTCCTTCGATAATGCCCTTCACTCGGTGGGAAATGGGAGATTTTATAGGTAACTCTCCCTCTTTCTGGCTGGTTTCTGTGAAGTTTGAGGAGTTTTGTGTGTAGGCGCACAACAGTTATAATAGTGATTAGGTGCGTTACGTCTGTTCAAACCCTCCCTTGAGGCTTTTGATGGTGCAGATGCAAGATTAGGTGAAGAACCAATAAGCAGAAGGTTTGTTGACATGTGGGCAGCCTCTGCTCTCCCGGTGTGATCCCTGCATTCTTGTTTTTCTCCAAAGGAGTAACAGGAGGGGGAGAGACCCCCTTTTCACTCCCTTCCTTCACCCACGCTCTCCCCCTTTCCCACTGCCCCTCACCATCTCAGTGGGTCAACCAATTTCCATCTCAAACATGTGGAACTAATTTTGCCACTGCACAGATTTTGTCTCCCCCCCTCTTCTCCCTGCTTTCTGAGAGACCTCCAGCACTCAAAACTCCAAAGTGGAAGAAAAACACAACAACAAAACATCCTCAGTTCAGTTCCGCAGCTCCGACCGCAGATCCGACGCAGCAACAGATTGTGTGCGTCAGTGTTTTCCCTCCTTTTTCTTCTCTGTCCTCTGCTTTTATCTCTTCTGTATGAGAGAAAAATCCATCTGACAGAAAGTTAGCGTGCTTCGGTGGGAGAGGGAGAGACAAGAGGAGGGGAAGAGGGAAAAACTGGAGGGGGGGGGGTCATGAAAGAAAGAAAAGAGATGAGGAAAGAGCAGGGGGGGGGGGGGGGGGGCACGGAGAGCCCAGCTGTGCTAAATACCTGACTCTTTGCCTGGACCCTCCAAAGGTCAGATTTGTGCTTGGGGCCTACGGCTTTAGTCATGCTGGGGTTCTCCTCAGCACTCCTGGCTGAGGGCATTCTCATAAAGAAAGGGGCCCTCCTTCCCCCTTTCCCTCTCTCCTTCTCACTCCCTCTAAGCTCAAGTTCCCCCTTCCTCTCCTTCCCTCCCTCTTCCTCGTCCACCCCTTCAACTCCTGGAACAGGAATGCAACACAGCAGGATAGAGAGCAAGAAAGACAGAGAGACTTTAGAAAGGAAACCAGGGGAGAGCCGGCGAGGGAGGGGCCCCAGACGAGCTGATAGCAGGGCGAGATTGAGCTGGGAGCGCTCAGAGGGAGAAAAGTTTCTCTAAAGAAGGAGAAAGTGGGGAAAATCTGGCGTCTGGTTCAAATAAAAGGCTGGAGAGATGCTGCGGGTCACTCCTACCACAAAGCCCTACACCACCTTCAGCTCAAACCTGGAGCTTCATGTTTTACTCTGTTGTCACATTCCTCAGGCCCCTTAGGAATAAAACCAACCCTGATTTAAAATAAAACAAAAATGGCCTCTTTTTTCTATTATTCACTTCATGACTCTTGTCTCTTGCAGGTCTCACCACCGAGGAAACCCTGCCAGCCCGTACTTCGTCAACTCTGGCTACGTTTTTGCCCCCGCCACTAGTGCCAACGACAGCGAGATCTCCAGCGATGCAACGACCGACGATTCCATGTCGATGACCGACAGCAGCGTGTGAGTGTTAACAGAAACCCGCCTGGTCTGTTCCTCTTAAACCTCAGGTGCCTCAGCTTCAGATCTGCTGTCCAAGCGCTGTGGTTTCTATTATTTCCATCGTATCTGAGCAAACCTGCGCCAGATTTCACTCAACACCTTTTCTAGGAAAAAAGGACTCAGGGTGTGAAAGAAAAAACTTTGGCCTGGTAACTCAACAGGCTGGGCTTTTCGTGCGCTGTTGAGGAATGATGACATGTAATGTGTTTTAATTATCCTCCGTGATGGACTCCAGGTAACGCTGCTCATGTGTAGCTGTTGCTGCGGCCTCCAGGGAGATAACTCTGGGAAAGTCATTACGTCTGCAGACCTTTTGAAGTTTATTCTGATGTGTTGCAGGCTGCAGAGAAGAGAGGAAAAAATACAAACGTCTTGATGTGGGTGGGGCTGTTGCCTCAGTTTCCTCAAAGTTGATATGTATCCATCCCACCCACCCTCCTTCCACAACAGACTCTTTTTTATTATTATTATCTAATCGCTTTTTCCCTTTGAAGAACTGGAGGAGTGGGGTGGGGGAGGGAAATGGCCATTCGGGCCTCAAGACAAACTCACTGAAAAATGTTGGCACTAAATGAAAGAAGGCTTACTCACATGGTGGGTCGGTTTCCTGCCACTGGCCTCTGCGGCGTGCTGAGATCATGTGTCTGCGAGGCTTTCACGGTGGTTACTCATTTCTAGACCTCAGGACAAGACACAAGGACACCCCCCCATCCCCCACCCCACCCCCCAGCCACGCTAAGCTACCTCCACCCAGAGAGCTCCTATCCTCCATATTCCAGAGCCGTAAACAGGAGCGGTGAGGCTCCAACTGCTAGGGAGTGAGAAAATAAAGTGCACGGAGTATAAAGGGCTTAACTGACTCACTTTCAGCCTATTGTTAGGTGAGGGGGGCTTAGTGGGATAAGAGGGTGGCTGGCTGCTTTGAAAATGACTTGCACTACTGAATAGGAGATCCCCATAAAGTGAGGGTGCGTGAAACCATGAAAGGGTTTGCGGATGTTTTCCCCATCCTGGACAAAGCGTCTAGCCGACTCGGGACGGTTCGTAGACTTTTCAGGGTCCTTGTTAGCAAACAGGTTCCTGTAAGCTGTGGAGTTGTACTGGTGAGGGGTTCCTTTAGAGATGATAGCTGCTCGTCTCTGGGGTGCAGTTTGTGAGGCATCGATTTTTGTAGTAGCCTCCCCTTACATGAAGCTTGCCTCAGCACGCGCGATAATGTCTGCCCAGATTTCTCCTGACTGTTATGCCGACGTGCGACTGGCTGGAGCTGCTCAGATGAAACAAACAGACTAATTGCCGAACAGCATCACCTGTCAAAGTTTCTTTGACTCTTCGTTGAGGTCTCTGACACGGAGATTCCCGTTTCCCTTCCTGGTGGTTAAAAGACAGAAAGAATTTGAGCCTTATTTCTAAGCTAGAGAACAAGAAGAGACTGATTTTAGGAAGGGAAGTTGCAAGAAGGGGCGGGACGTGGATTTTTTTCTCTTTTTGCTTATATCTTATTTATGGATTTACTTGGACGCTGGGGAATGCTGCTGCACCAACTTCAAACATTACCTTATCTTACAAACCAGCCTTTTGATGTTGCTGAGATCAGAGGCTCGCTGCAGAGCGCTTGCCAAACGAAGATGGCAACGGGTGCATATGTGCATGAGTGTGAGATTTCAAAGAGGCAGCAGAAAAAGTAGCGTTTGGGCTAGGGCAGCCACTTCTGAGCGGCCAAAACGGCCGCGATAATTGGCCGAGCTTAAGTGGCAGCTGACTGGAGGAGCTAACAGACAGAATGAAAAATGGAGGAAGAGATTCCCAGAATTAAAGTCTAATTGTCCCGAGACTTTTAGAGCTTCCACATATATCTCTTAATGTTAGGGCCTACAAAGCCAGGAGGGATTGAACAACATTTGCTAGCCTCTTTAGGTCTTTTGTCAGCTACTGACATCTGTAGCTGCAGTGAGATTTAACCCTCTCACCAGAAAAGGTTCTTTATTTGTCATTTATGCCAGCATTATTTTAAGTTTCTCTTTGTCAAGAGTTCTCTAGGTTTTTGATTTTGGTGTAATGTGATTACTGATGGGGCTGCATGTTGGTACCTCACAGCAAGAAGGTTGCGGGTCTGGAGTTCTCTTTCTGGGAGGCTAAAAACATACATGCTAGGCTGTAAAGAGACTCTGGATTTTCACTAGTGAGTTTGATTGTTTGTCTCTGTGATGGACTCGAGACTTGTCCATGTTGCCGCCCCATCTCTCCATGATCCTGGTGATGATGGTTGAGGCAATGATGAACCTTTCAGGGGGCCTCTGAGGGTCTCTAACGTGTGTGATGAGCAGCAGTGGTGCAGCTGATTAAAAGCATGTTTTCTTGTAGATTTTAACAGTTTTGATGAAACTTTCTCGTCCTCTTTCCCTCGCAGAGATGGAATTCCTCCATACAAGCTGGGCACCAAGAAGCAGCTCCAACGAGAGATGCATCGTAGTGTTAAGATCAACGGGCAGGTGACACTACCCCACTTTCCTGTGAGTCCCGCTCCCTTTGTTCTACTTCCTGTCTTGTTTTCCTTTGTATGATGTCATCTCATCTCTCAAGATGCTTTTGGAAATTGTTGTTTGGTCAGATTATGGAGCGGTGACATCTGCTGTGGTAATATCTGGTCCAGTGAGTTTTGGGGTCAAAGGTTGTGCTGCTTAGAGTGTTTTTGAGAGAACGTTGAAAGAACTGGGTCAGAACAGGTTGATGCAGGTTAGGAAACAGGAAAATAAACACAAAGTGTCTTTTGTCTTCATAACCAAACACAGGTGTGTGTGTGTGTGTGTGTGTGTGCGCACATTTTCTGTTTCCCGGTTTTCTCTTTTTCCTCTCTCTGTTCTTTTTTCCCTCTTCTGTCTATCTCTTCTCTTTTCCTTTCCCACTTGCACTCCTTTAATGTCTCCCTCCTGATTTGGAGATGGCTCTGTCTCCCATGATGCACCAGCCCCAGGCAGCGGGGGCCCCGTGCAGGGCTGGCGCTCCTTTGCCAGCAGCTCAACTTGCCTTTCTTCTTCTTCCCTTTATCGTGTCTACAAAGAGATGAGAGGGACAACAACAAAAAAAAAAAGAGTCAAAATCAAGAAAGCCAGCGTGCCAAATAACAAAAAAAGTAAGAAGGGGAGAAAGGGATGCCAGCACAAATAGTTAAAGAAAAAGGAGGATAATGTGACTAGAGTACCTCTGAGCTGCCCTGCATGCAGCCTGGAAATAAATTACTACTTCCCCTCAGATCTTCCCAGTATTTGACTCCTCTATCCTCTCCCTCCCTGTCTCCTTTTCTTTCTCTGCCTCTCTGTCGTCATTGCCACTTCACTAACACACGTCTCAATCTCCCACTTCTCTTTTCATGCTGTTAATTTTGTCACCCTCTTCTTTTCTCTCCCCCCTCCTCTCCTCGCTCTCCCTTCTCCGTCGATATCTGGCTTTTATTCGGAGATTTAAAGCAGCATGTCCCTCCCACCCCTAGCGTGCGTTTGATGTTTGACAAGGGCTCTTTGAAGTGTGCTGACTTCAGAAGCTGCCTTGCTGATGGCTTGGTCGGGCTACAGAGGGTGCAGGCAGGGGGCCTCCCCTCCGAGCGAGACCAACTGCTACCCCGCCATTGCTACCCCCTTCCCTCCCGGCAGCTTGTTGGAGCTGCCAAGGGCACTGGGCATGAGAAGATCTTTGGAGGGATGGGCGGCAGGGAAAGTTCAGGTTAGCTCGAGGGCAAGGTTGTGTGGATTAGGCCTTTTTGGAACTGTAGTAGGCGGTGTTGGAACGGAACCGGATTAGGACAAGGGCGGTGGATTAATGCACCATGTTGCATCCATCAGAAACGCCGTGTTGCTCCAGTCACACACGTACTAAAAATGACCTCCCTCTCATGTTTGTTTACCCTGCAGAGGACACACCGTCTACCCAAGGAGATGACCCCAGTTGAGCCCTCCGCTTTTGCTGCCCAGCTCATCGCCAAGCTGGAAAAGCTGAAGCGAGAGCAGGACACGATGAGCTCGCTGGAGGAGAGGCTGCAGCAGATCCAGGAGGTATGGATGCTCATGGCAAACATGGCCGCCTCTAGGAAAGTCTATTTCAGTTACAGCAGTGGTTCTGTTAAGAACAGCGTGCACATCGGGGGATCGCAAAGTTAGTTTGGGTTTATATTCTTTATTCATTTGGAGGAGGAGCTCCCACTAATGTTTCTAGACATACTTTAAACGCCTTCATACAACACTTAGTGACTCTCCTGTGGCACATTCGCCGAGTATGCCAGTGTCTTTGTGAGGCACAGGCACATTCTGCATTATACATGAAGTGCACCCAAAGCCTGTTAGTGAAGATAACAGTGCTGCAAAAGGAAACTCACATCAACTTATCCAGGCATTTGCTCTCTATCTCACTTCACAGGACGATAGATATAATTTGGTGTAAGCTGACACAAAAAATCTTTCCCTCGTGTGACTATTATCAACCCCTTCAACTTTTCCCTTTGCCTGTGCAGGAGGATGAGAGGGAGGAGAGCACCAACATCAGCAGCGTCTCGCTGCATCACCCTCTGCTTCCGCCGCCTAGCCAGTGTGAGGAGGACCCCCAGGCCATCTTAGACGAGCACCTTTCCCGCGTGCTGAAGACGCCCGGCTGCCAGTCGCCGGGCGTGATTCGGTACTCCCCACGCTCACGCTCCCCAGAACGGACCGGTGCATTTGTGCCCTCCGGGCCCTTCTTTGGGTCTTACCACGGAGCCTCCAAGGTTCTGATGGCGGGCAGGCAGTCCACGAAGCACATCCACCACCACTACATCCACCATCACCACGCTGGGCCAAAAACCAAGGAGCAGATCGAAACCGAGGCGGCTCAGCGTGTGCAGTGCCTCTGCCCTCAAGGGGGCGCCAACTACTCCAACTTCACACCTGCGTGAGTCCTACATCCGAGCGGCTCCGTCACACTCTGTGTTTCTAATGCGGTGTGTTAAGACTGCTGCGTCTCTGTCCTCCTACAGCCACTGCAGCACTTTGTCCAGACGGCCACTCAAGGCCTGCGACGAGGACTCGTCTCCGCCATGCCTTCCCCAAGTCTCCACCGACCGCTCCCAAAATGTTTGGCAGTGGATCCTAGAGAGTGAGAGGCAGGGCAAGCACAAGCCACATAGGTAAGTGTCCCCCCCCCCCCAACACGTTCAGGTTCACAGAACACTGGACCTCACAGCTGATGTCCCCTCGTTTTTAAATCTCAACAGCACTCAAGGCCTAAAGAAGTCCAACTCACTTGACTCCAAGATTCTCCCCACGCGAACCAACTCCTCCTGGGGAGGAGGCGGTCCCTGTAACGGAAGTCACCTCCGTGGCCACCACCCGGGTCACCCTTTTATCCAGGATCCGGCCATGCCACCATTACCTCCACCCAACACCCTGGCACAGCTGGAGGAGGCCTGTCGCAGACTGGAGGAGGTTTCGAAGCCACCAAAGCAAAGGTCAGAACTTCCTGTCTACTCTTGATTGGCCTCAAAAGAAAAACCTCAGCCTGACGCCGCTTCAGATTATTGATTAGTGATGGATCTTTGTGATGTTTAACAGGCACTCAGCAGCCGGCAGCCTTCAGAGGGACCGGAGCCTTCCAGGTGCCGGAGGGAGTGGAGGCAGCTCTCTGGCCAACCCCGATGAGTAGGTCCTCATTTTTGCTTCGGTTTTTACTGAGTCTGACTTTGTTTTGTTCTTTAAAATTATCTTTTAGATCAATTTAATCTAGCTTTAGGCCTGTTTTCAGCTCAGCTAGGCCTCGAACCATTAGTTAGAGTGTTTTATTTAAAAGGTTCACCTCACTCCTCCTTCATTAAAACTTATCAAAATATGTCCGGTTATCAGTGTTAAACTCAAGCTGGATAATCTGAAAACAACAGCTTTAGCTTTCATAATCTCATTATTAGCAATCGTTGGCAACACAAACGTGATAAAATGTGTAAATGATCAGAGGAATCACCAAGTGGGTGCTTGACGGTTGAACATTTTGGGAAGTTTGTGGGACATATGATGTATTCACTCACAAATTACACCAGTTTCATGTTGCTGTTTAGTCACAAGGTGTCATAATTGGTCTGCAGTTCCATTGAAAATTGTCCCAAGTCTTTTGCATTTTCTGATTGAAAGTTCTGAAACTAAACAAAAACCATTTGTCCGGCAGATTTAAGATAATTTTTTAAAAACTGAAATACTCATTGTCTAATGTTAACATAACAGGTATATGAATCATTTTGTTGTGTTAAGTAAATATTTAACATAACTGTAAAAAAGAAATAAAATTGGCACTTACCACTTGTAAATCATCCACCAGGGAGCAGTAGATGTGTATGGGATTGTAAATAGCAGGTGATGCTCCATCAGGTTAGAAGTGTGATACGACAGCGAAGCCCTTAATTATTACCACAATTATTTGTTCTTTTTTATTCGTTTTACAATAATAAACAAAGTTTAAAAACTCCTAAAAGAAGAAAAGGTAGCTAATAATTTGCTGCCTTATGCTAACGTGCTAGTAAAGCTAACATCTGGGCACAGCTGGACATGAACCAAATCCCTTTTTAACCAGGCTAAAGCGAAAATAATCACCAGGTAAATATCTTCTTAATTACTGGATTCATTTTTAGGAACAAACTAAAGTGATCAGGCTTAAGGTGTGTCACATCTAAATAGGTCCTGGTGGAAGCAGTTGTCTGACCATTCAGATAACTCACCCCTGCTCATGTACACAACGTGTTATTGCTGTGAGAAATCCCACTTTAGAGTGACAGAGAGTCAAACAGAATTTCTTTATGCCGTTTCAGGTCGAAGGAGCTGGTGGTCACATACTTCTTCTGTGGTGAGGAGATCCCATATCGCAGCATGATGAAGACCCACTGCCTCACCTTGGGTCACTTCAAGGAACAGCTCAGCAAGAAAGGCAACTATCGGTAAGTGTGCACCGGAGCCACCACCAATCACCGGTCGATGCAGGACGAGCGGTTATCGGCTTATCGACGAGTGTGTTTGTAACGCTTTGATAGATGAGGAGATAAAAACCAGGCTGATCCGCTGGACTCTGAGCTTTAGGACGGAGGGAGAGAAAAGCAGTTCTGGAGTGAATTTTTCTCACATCTGGTCCTGATTTCCATGCTAAGGCAGCTCTAATAAATATGGCTTTGAAGCACCGGGCTGTTTTATTTTGAGTCCAAAGACCATTGCAATGCCTTCAGATTCCTTCTCCACACTGTTGCATCAGACGCTGCAAGCACCTTGTTCTTCTGCAGCGTGCAAAACCCGTCCGCTTTTGTTTACCCAGCAGGGGAACTTTCCCGATTGAAACCCAGAAGTTTAGCCTTTTTAAATGTCGTCTCCAGCGATGTGCTGAATGTAAAGCCTGACGTCCACATCTGCCGCGGCTATCTCACAGCTCCTCTATGAGCTGGAGAAAGAAGTGAGGTGGGGGGGCGAAGCGTCTGGCTTCAATGGCAGCAGAATGTGTGGAGTTGGTTAATTTGGACATGGCAGCGGTACAGCGGAGAACAGTACTCCACCGTGCTGCCAGATGATATTGGTGCCAGATGTTGTGAAGAGAGAAAAATCCTGAAACATGTTCCAGTGGAAAGACTCCTTCTGTCGCTGCAGCATTGACGACTTTCAGCTATTTGTGAGCAGAAATGTGGTTTAAGTGAGATTTGAACCTTTTCTGTTGAACTCGTCATCACGCTCTTCAGCTGATTACAATCACCAGGATAAATCCGTGTGTGCGTGTGTTTTCATACGCGCCTCTTTATGTGTGTGTTGTCTGAATGACTCTATGCCGAGCTCATAAAACACCCCCCTCCCTCCTCCTCCTCTTTTTTCATCCTTTTTATGTTCTGAACGCAGGCACACATGGACAAAATGAGGCGTTTTTCCATTACAAAGCTTATCATTAAATCCCCTCCTGCTGATCTTTTTGCTGGGTTTAAAGTAGAAAGTAGGAATCATTAGAAGCTCCGGGAGACTTCACAGTCACCGGGACCCCGCTAGCCCTGGGAGTCATCTCTGCTGGTGTGGAGGAGAGACGTGACCTCTGACCTTCAGGGGTTTCTCTGAGGGTGGAACCCATCCAAACTCTTCCAACGTTTCCTCGTCAGTCGTCTGGCATGGGAACGTATTTTCAAGAGGCTATAACTCAGATAAGGGAGTGGGCAGAGCTTAAACTGCCTCTGATTAACCTTAATGGGGGGGGTGGGGGGGTGGACTCAGGTGCTTACCTTTGAAGTGAGAACTGGAACCAGAAGTTTTGTTATTCAGATCCATTTCTGGCTCTCACACAGAAACCGCGTTTGATTCGGATCGCAGAAACTCGCGTCAGAGCGGGGTGAAACGGATCATTTGCTTTTCTAATTGCAAACTGTCTTCTCCCTTTGTGTTTTCTCCTCAGGTACTACTTCAAGAAGGCGAGCGATGAGTTTGAGTGTGGCGCGGTGTTCGAGGAGGTGTGGGAGGATGCCGCCGTGCTGCCCATGTACGAGGGCAAAGTCCTGGGCAAGGTGGAGAGGATGGACTGAAGAGCACAAACCTTCCCCACCAAACCAAAAGCTACAAAACTTTTCCAGAAAAACTTGAGCAACAGACTCTCGGTGTAAAAACACTCGTTTTTTCAATTTTTATCAATGTCTTATTACTAAGCTAAACAGAGTTAATATATCCAGCACAAGAGGAGTGATTGAAGGAAGACGAGCCAATGAAGTATGCCGAAGTCGGGGGAGGTGCCGCCCCCCTCCCTCCCTGACTCTGTCAACCAATCAGCCTTAGAAACACAAGGGAACGAACCTCTGCAGAATCAGAGGCCAGGGCGGGGAGAAGAAACCACTGAAGAAGTAGATGACCCCTCAACATCACGCTCCGACGTCGTCACGGAAACGTCCATACGTGTGCATATACATACATGCATATATGTATATATACATGTATTATATTATATAGATGCTTTTTGTTGAGTTTTTATTTAGTATTTATTGAAAAGTTTCCCTCCACCCCAGTGTCCCGCCCCCCTTTTCCTGTTCCCAGCCAATGGGCAAGCTGCTTTCAATGTTGGGAGAATACTGTGGTGAGTGTTTCATGTTTGTTTTGTTTTATTACTTTTATGTTACAGAAAAGAAAAAAAAAAATAGAAAAAAGAAAAGTCGTGGCCCCAGCGGGACTTCTCCCATAGCCTTGCTGCCACGTGTGACCCAAACTTAGATTCTGGTGTGGGTTATGCCCAAAGCTCTCCGTTATCCTGGTGGTCAGTCCCAGTTCTATATGCTGCTGATATTTTATTCTCCCAGTGACCCTCACCCACTACACCTAGCAACAGAGCTCAAACTTTTTATGTTGTGCCTTTGTTTGTAAACCAGGCGTTTGCACCAGGATTGTGCCGGTGTGGTGGTTGGGGCGGAGGTGTTCAGATTCACACAGAAAGTAGTCGTAATGATGGCAGTGTTTACAGCCCACACACCGACATAACCAACAGATCAGTGAAGTGACTTCTTGATGAAGTCATTTAGCGTGTGTGGAAGAAAAAAGCAAAAAGAATTCTGGCTCCAGCATCGTCTGAATGTTGTAAAAGCGTCTGCAGCAGAACTCCTGCGTTATTGTAATTATGCATTCTGAAGTAAGAACACACACACACACACACACACACACACACATGATTGCTGGTGTTTTCTGAGAACAGCACCTGTGCCTGCATGGATGCCATACCATGTGCTGCCCTGTTTCAGGGTTTATTAAATATCCCTCGGTTTTCAGAAGGGTTTTATGTTGAAAAGATATTTTTATGCTTTTAATAATGTCCTGTAATCACGTTGTTGTTGTTTTATTTGTTGTTTTTTTTACACCATGACCTTTTTTGTTTCTTCTATCTAAACTGTAAATTATACATAATTATATACAGAGTTTCATTTAAAGATTTACATGGATCTATAATTATTGTAATTATTGAAAGATGTAGCCTTTATTAAAGTTTTATATTTTTCAAATGAAAGCTGATTTGTCTGAAATATTTATTTATTTTATATTAACTGGATTTGGGGGTTTTAGTCTGATAAACACTGTAAATTAAATCTGTGTTTTTCCTAGTTTTGCTGTCAGATTTTTAGGAGCAAACGGGATTTTATTTTCTGTCTGGATTATAGAAATGCACCAAAAGTAAAATAACCAATATCCAGCGTGATTATTCAGCTTCTAACTGTTTCGGTTCCGAGCAACAGTTAAAAATCTGACATTTCCTGGTCTGTGAATGCACCACCATTTAAAATGATGAGAGACAAACTGGCATCGCCTGATAAGCCAGAGCTGCTGCAGCTACTTTCATTGTTTTAAACACAAGTAATGCTCGTTCTGATGTGAAGATTCATGATCTGATACGAACATGCTTCGGATTCCTTCACAGCGCAGAAAAGACTTAAAAAACAGATATTTATCAATTATTTGTGCTTTAACACTTTTGTTGCATCAAATATTTGAATAGAAATAAGTGTTTTAACATTTAAATATCCTTTTTTATGTTTTATGTCTATATCCACGGGGTTCCAAAAGATACAGTGCAGTCTCAGGTGATGCAAATGTTAAAAAATTAAAATAATTTTAAATATCTCCAGTAAGTACTTGACCTGCCGGTCGGAAGTGTTTTTTTTATTTTTTGCTTAATAAAAGCAACAAGTGGATTAATATTTGTGTGTGTGTGTGTGTGTGTGTGTGTGTGTGTGTGTGTGTGTGTGTGTGTGTGTGTGTGTGTGTGTGTGTGTGTGTGTGTGTGTGTGTGTGTGTGTGTGTGTGTGTGTGTGTGTGTGTGTGTGTGTGTGTGTGAGTGAGAGTGAGAGTGATAAAGCCTGAGGCGTTTTACCATCAGCCCTCAGGGTGACTGGTTGGAAGCGTTCCTGGTCCTGTCCTGGTCACACGCTCCTGCTGAGGGTTGTTTCCCGTCTCATCGGGTTAAAGCATCGGTCCTCGATGGGAGTCCTTCTAATTGTCCCTTTTGGACAAATTACAGATGTTTCATAATGAGAAGAAACAGCTGGATTCTGTTTAAATCAAATAATAACAGATATAGACTTTTAAAAATGGAGACGTGCCAATTGTACACCTCTGATCTGTTTAGGCCAATTACAATTTCTCTCAATTCACAATAATTAATAGAAAATATTTTGGTGAATTTTCAGATTAACCAGAAAACTATGATTCTGGATCTGAAAGATTAGCGTTGATAACGAAGTGGACCCAAAGAGGGAACGATTCTGTTTGCAGCTGTAGATCAGCCATCGGATCAATCATGCTGAATTTTAGCCAGCCTTATATTTTGTTAATTAATTTGAAAACGCTCCACGACTTATCATCATCATCAAGTATTTCCAGTTTTGTTCTGTTGTCCTTAACAGGAAGACCGGATCAGAACCAAATCCATATAAAAAAACATTCACCGTTGGATTCAGCTGGAAATAAAAACATGAAAGCTTACAAAGTACAACTTTCCTCTGAGACATGAATTTAAGTCTAAAAGTAAACAGAACTGAGTGGTTAAATGTTCTGGTTCTGATCTTAAACATGGAACTGAAGCCATCAGCTAATTAGTGTTATTAAAGAGCAACGAGGCCCAAGTCGGCTCAGACACTAATGAAGCACCCCCCCGTTTCCCATCAGCACCATGTTTGCTTCAATTATCTGTCTTTATATTAGTGATGGAGGAAAAAAATAAAGGTTTAACATCCAGGAAGTAATTCAGAGGAGCGTCAGGCTGAGATGAAAACATTTGACCCAAACCAAAAGGCATCCAGCTGTTCTCAGTAACGCCTGGTGAGTTCAGGGTTAAATTCTTTAGTAAAACCTCTAAAACACTAATCTGCTAGCCTAATAAGCCATCCTACATCTGTAAATATGCAGTCTGGCCACGAGCCAATGAAATGGCTCACTCATAGTGGCAGAATCTACGGTTTATCAAACAGTCTCTGCATGCAACTGGACATCATAACGGAAAACAGTCAATGGGGCAGTTTGCACCACGGAAGAAGAACCGGGTTGTCACAGCATCCAACAACAACCTCAATGATTTCTGTCGTTTAATAAATCGTTAAATTTGATAAATCTTCCATAGTTAACATTTCAAACCATTTGAAACGAGTGCTGTTCCTGAGCCAACGCCATCTTTGTTGTTTTGCTTTGTTGCAGCAGTAGCTTTAAGCCTGCCCAACAAACGTAGAGCATTGTGATTGGCCAACACCCAAAGCTGACTGGGTCATCTTTTGCTCCTGCTATGGTTGGTCTACATTTCTAGGCTACAACTCTGCTGCATCTCTTTTTGGTTTTGTCTCATTTTTGGGCTCGTTGATCTTTTAACCGTAAAAAAAGTTATAAAACTTTAGCACTTTTAATTCATTTAAAATGACTGGAGTATAATATAATGAGAATCGAAGAAAATGTGTTATTTCATTAACCTATTTTTATAAGGTTTTGAGTTCCTTGGTCTGGCTTCGCTTTAGTTCATTGACAGAAATTGTGTTTTGGGGAGTTTTCTGTCTCTTAAAGGCCAAGTTCACTGAGAAACAGTTCATTTTTCTTGTTACTTTTTAAATATGATCGGTCACTGTGAGTCCGGTGACTCCCTCGTTCTGCTGTGGGACTTTAACACTCACGTGGGCAACGACAGTGAGACCTGGAGAGGTGTGGTTGGGAGGAACAGCCCCCCTGATCTGAATTTGAGTGGTGTTTTGTTATTGGACTTCTGTGCCAGTCATGGATTGTCCATAATAACCACCATGTTCAGACATAAAGGTGTCCATATGTGCTCTTGGCACCAGGATACCTTAGGCCACAGCACAATGATCGACTTTGTTGTTGTTTCATCTGACCTGCGGCCGCATGTCTTGGACACTCGGGTGAAGAGAGGGGCGGAGCTGTCAACTGACCACTACCTGGTGGTGAGTTGGCTCAGATGGTGGGGGAGGATGCCGGTCCGACCAGGCAGGCCCAAACGTATCGCGAGGGTCTGCTGGGAACGTCTGGCAGAATCTCCTGTCAAAAGGAGCTTCAATTCCCACCTCCGACGGAACTCAGACAGAACTTCCAAAATGTTCCGGGGGAGGCGGGGGACATTGTTCCGTGGCACCAGTGTTGAGGCGGCCGACCGGAGCTGTGGTCGCAGGATCGTCGATGCCAGTCGTGGTGGCAACCCCCAAACCCGCTGGTGGACACCGGCGGTTAGGGATGCTGTCAAACTGAAGAAAGAGTCCTATCAGGTCTTTTTGGCCTGTGGGACTCCAGAGGCAGCTGACGGGTACCGGCAGTCCAAGTGGAACGCGGCTCGGGTGGTCGCCAAGGCAAAAACACGGGCATGGGAGGAGTTCGGTGAGACCATGGAGCAAGACTTCCGTACGGCTTCGAGAAGATTCTGGTCCACCATCCGGCGCCTCAGGGGGGGAAAGCAGTGTGCTACCAACACTATCTATAGTGTGCTGCTGACCTCTACTCAGGACACTGTGGATCGGTGGACAGAATGCTTCAAAGACCTCCTCAATCCCACCGACATGTCTTCCAGTGAGTAAGCAGAATCTGGGGACTTTGGGTTGGCCTCTCAAATCTCTGGTGCTGAGGTCACTGAGGTGGTTAAAAAGCTCCTCTGTGGCAAGGCTCCAGGGGTGGATGAGAGCCTCCCGGAGTTCCTTAAGGCTCTGAATGTTGTGGGGCTGTGTTGGCTGACGCGGCTCTGCAAAATCGCATGGACATCGGGGGCAGTCCCACTGGACTGGCAGACTAGGGTGGTGGTCCCCTTATTTAAAAAGGGGGACCGCAGGGTGTGTTCCAACTACGGGGGATCACACTCCTGAGCCTTCCTGGTAAGGTCTATTCAGGGGTTCTGGAGAGGAGGGTCCGTCGGATTGTTGAACCTCAGATTCAGGAGGAGCAATGTGGTTTTCGTCCTGGCCGTGGAACACTGGACCAGCTCTATACCCTTAGGGGGGTCCTGGAGGGTGCGTGGGAATTTGCCCAACAAATCTACATGTGTTTTGTGGATTTGGAGAAGACGTTTGACCGCATCCCTCGGGGGGCCCTGTGGGGGGTGCTCCGGGACCATGGGGTACCAGGCCCTCTGATATGGGCTGTTAGGTCCCTGTATGACCGGTGTCAGAGCTTGGTCCGCATTGCCGGCAGTAAGTCGGGCTCGTTCCCAGTGAGAGTTGGACTCCGCCAAGGCTGCCCTTTGTCACCGATTCTGTTCAAAACCTGTATGTTCATGATTTCTAGGCACAGCCAAGGTGTGGAGGGTATCCGTTTTGGTGGCCTGAGGACCAGGTCTCTGCTTTTTGCAGATGATGTGGTCCTGTTGGCTTCATCAGAACGTGATCTTCAGCTTTCGCTGGAGCTGTTCACAGCCGAGTGTGAAGCAGCTGGGATGAGAATCAGCTCCTCTAAATCTGAGACCATGGTCTTGATTCGGAAAAGGGTAGAATGCCTTCTCCGGGTCAGGGATGAGGTCCTGCCCCAAGTGGAGGAGTTTAAGTATCTCGGGGTCTTGTTCACGAGTGAGGGAAAACTGGAGTGTGAGATCGATAGGCAGATTGGTGCTGCATCTGCAGTGATGCGGGCGTTGTACCGGTCTGTAGTGGTGAAGAGGGAGCTGAGTCAGAAGGAGAAGCTCTTGATTTACCGGTCGATCTACGTTCCTACCCTCACCTATAGTCATGAGCTTTAGGTTGACACTGAACGAACGAGATCGCGGATACAGGCGGCCGAAATGAGTTTTCTTCGAAGAGTGGCTGGGCTCTTCCTTAGAGACAGGGTAAGAAGCTCAGTTATTCGGGAGGGGTTCGGAGTAGACCCGCTGCTCCTCTGCATCGAGAGGAGCCAGTTGAGGTGGCTCGATCATCTGGTCAGGATGCCTCCTGGATGCCTCCCTGGTGAGGTTTTCTGGGCACATCCAACCGAGAGGAGACCTAAAGGTAGACCCAGGACACGGTGGAGGGACTATGTCTCTCACCTGGCCAGGGTACA